CATCTCTTGATGCATTTCTCCAGCCCAGCCACTTTCAAACCTGTGGTGGAGGGTTTTCAGTCCAGCTGCTCTCATGGCATCATCTCTAACTCTAGAACTCACATTCCTTTCAGTGAATCTGATAACAAATCAGGAATTCCGACTTTGTTGCCAAACTCTGATTCTCTGGAGGGCAGAGTGGGATATTTTAGACTCAGGCAATAATTTCATGAATTGAAAAATGAACATCCTGCTGGGATTTCCCCAAGGGCCTTGGCACGCTTGGCTTGAACCAATTTAGGTGCTAAATCAACTCCTGGAGGTTTCCCTGCTGGGAATGTTGCTGGAACTCTTGTATTCCAGCTGGGCCACAGAGGAGAGACAGTGAGTGGTGCCAGCAAAATTGTCCAAGGGCTGCCAGGACAAGCACTGAAAATTGGGGTAAAAATTCAGGATCTTGACAGATCTGTGCCTGGACAAAGGGACCTGGCAATGGGGGGACACAGCCATGACAAATCCTATTTTTTTTCACTCTGAGATGCCTTAGATCAGTTTGGGAGTCCTGTCGCTTCCTTGAATCCAAGTGCAAATCCATGGAAGTGCTGAGCTGTTGGCAGAGCTGCACAGGCTCAGGCACTGCTGGAGGAACAGTGGCATCTAGAGGCCAGGGCTTGGTCCTGCTGCAACAAATCCACGCTGAAACTCGGGACCAAAGCTTGGGAGGAAGAGGCTGGGCCAGTCTGACAATGCACACATGGAAAGGAATTGTCTGATGTGGGGAATGGTGGGCAAAATGGGAAAAGTCCTTTTGGGAACTTTGCCTCCCAATAGTTCAGCCTGCTCGTGATCCAGGGATCTTTGAATCCAAATCATCCATCCCTGAAGGTCTGAAGGAATTCCTCCTGAAGGAGGGACTGATTTCCCATTAAAGGGATCAGGAGGAGGTGAAATCCAGAGCCCTGTGTTAGGCTGGAACAGCCTTTAGCATAGAGAGCTTTGGATGTATTCACCTTTGGTGAATTCCTGTGGATGAATTCCTTTGGATGAATTCACCTTTGGTGAATTCCTGGCCTCTCATGTGGGCTCATTCCCTTTGGATGGAGCGGCTGCTCTGCAATGAATCATTTCCCTGGAAACAAGATTTACATTAAATCATTGGGTTCTGTCACCTGGAAATCTCTCCTTGTTTTTAAGAGATTTTTGGACAATTAAGAGGAGAAATCTTTTCCTGAGCTTGTCATTTGGGGTGTGTTCCATGCACTGACTCTGTTGTTACCTCTGCAGGGTTTGCCTGACTCCCATTCACAGCTCCCAGGCCACAAAAACACCTTCCCAAATCTCCAGAGAGCATCAGCCATCAGGGATCTCGTGGATGTATCCCATGAGAAGCCACACAAAGACAGTGCTTTGCTAATTCCAGAGGTGAGACATGGAAAGAATTCCCAGCTCTTGTGGTTCCTGAGGCAGGAGCTGCTGGGGTGTGTTGCTCAAATTATGAGTAAATTTGTCCTGGTGTAGATAAGGAATTGAAATATCAGGAAATACCTGGGATTGAAAGCTCAGGGAGCTGTTGATTAAAAAGTTTTAGCAATCAAAGCTGGTGTTTAGTGAGGATGATGGTGTTTGTGTTCTGTTCTTCAAGCTCGTCCCATTCCACCCCCTGCCATGGGCAGGGACAGCTTCCACTATCCCAGGTTGCTCCAAACCCTGTCCAGCCCAGCCTTGGACACTGCCAGGGGTGGGGGAGCCCCAACTTTGATCTTGGATGGAGAAAATGGAGCTGGAGTTTGGGTGGAGATGAGTCAGGGACACCTGAGCCCCTATTGCAGGGGATTTGGGTCCATCACAGATGGGCAGCAGATCTGGCCCTGGGCAGACTCTGGCTGTGATTCAGCTCTGAGTTCTGTCCTGATCCATTCCTCCTTTCCTGACCATTTCATTTTCTTGGCGTCTTCTCCTCCCGTCTCCTGTTGAGGGTGTGCTGTTACCTGGTGTTACAGACTTGGGTGACACTGGGAGAGGAGATGCCATCCCTGGGGATGTGTTTGGGGTAGAGTTGGAGCCCCTCTGTCTGTGAGAGCCACCTGAACCCACACTTTGTGCCCCTCCTGGTTTGCCAGGAGCTGCTGCTTTTGGAAAGAGCTTTGCCATTTGCTGTAAATCCCTGGGAGCTGTGCCACAGTGGGGTGAAATCAAATAAAGAACCATGGCTTGGTGCTAGTTGAGACACAGCTGCTTTCCATGCAGGAAAAAGGACTCACATGTGTATTTGAGGATGAAGAAGTGCAATTATTTAGGCACAGAATCACCAGCCATGTCTTGCTGGAGTCCCCAGATTGCCCTGGCTGGCTCCATCAGAGCAAAGGAAATGCAAGTCCTGGTGTTTTCTGACCTTACAGGCCTCTGAAGTCCTGCAAGACAGAGGACAGAGCCCCAAAGTGGAGCAGAAGCAGGAGGATCCCTGTGCAGAGGCAAAGACCTATGAGGAGCAGATGGCTAAAGTGGTGTTTTTGGAAGAACAGATCAAAAACCTGAGGGAAGAACAAGAAGTGCTCTGGTAAACCTTAACAAAGCCTGTGGTATTTTCTGCTCCTTGTCTTTGCTGAATTAAGTTTTGAACCTTTCCCAACTCCCCACGGGGCTGCTTCTGGCAAAAATGGGCTTGGCATCTTTGTGTTGTCCTTGGGTCAGCATCTCTGAATTTGGTGACTTTCCTAAGTCAGGATCAGCCAGGATTAAAGATTTTTTTTCTGCAGCTCTTCCAGATTCTGAGCAGCCTAAATGGGAACTGTCCTTAGGGAGGAGGATTCTTCCCTTGAACTTGGACTAAGGGGGATCTCAAAAATCTCCTGTTGTGGGTTTGGGCTCCTCAGGGTTTACAGCTGGTAGTCCTGGTCCCACTGGAGATATGGGTAATCCTTGGAATTTGGGGTTTTTGGAGGGGAGGGGGCAGCAGGTGTTGATCCCACTCCCCCTTTTGAGTAGAGCAGGACAAATTTGGAGCTGGAGTATCTGGGCTCAGGTGCTCATTTGTCCTTAGTAAATAAAAACTGGGATTAAATCCAGCGTGGTTACAGTGACCTGCAGTACTGGGATGAAGCACAGCCAGGAGAAGGCAGCAGGGAGCTGCTAAGGAATCATGGAATTATTCAGGCTGGAAAAACCCTCCAAGATCATTGAGTCCAACTGTTTCCCAACACTGCCATGTTCACTCTTAACACATGTCCCCGAGGGCCACATCCACTTCCAGGGATGGTGATTCCATCCTGGACATCCAGGACATAGAATCACAAAATTCCAGACTGTTCTGGGGATCTTCAAACTCATCCCATTCCACCCTCTGCCATGGGCAGGGACAGCTTCCACTATCCCAGGTTGCTCCAAGGGCTGTCCAGCCTGGCCTTGGACACTTCCAGGGGTGGAGGAGCCCCAACTTTGATGTTGGATGGAGAAAATGGAGTTTGGGTGGAGATGAGTCAGGCAGCTGGGCTGGGACACCAGCCAGTGCTTCCTTGTGACTTTGAGTCCAGAGCAGCTCCTGTGCCTTTGTGAGCATTCCTTGGCCAGCCTGTGACCTCTTCCAGGGCAGAGCTGAGCCTTTGGACACACGTGGGGTTGTGGGAAGTGTCCCAGGCAGACTGACCCTTGCCCAAAGCTGCTGCACTTAGGATTAAACCCCTTTGGAGCCTCCTGAAACACTTGAGTGTTTCACTGGTCAAGTTTCTCTCCTTTAAGGCTGTTTTCCATGGATTTGTGTAGTTATCTCTCTCCTTTACTATTTCTCCTTCAAGCTCTGAATTACTAGAGAGCAACAAGAAGAAGGAGGAGCTGGAAAAGCAGCTCAAGGAGAGCAGTGAAGAGAAGCGGCTGCTGCTGGAAGAGATTGCCCAGCTCAGATGTGACATCCGGAGTGCCTGGGAGCAGGGAGACATGAGGAGGATTTCCCCAGCCTTGGAGCAGAGGGAGAACAGGTTCCTGCCATGGCAAAGCTCTGCAGGCAGCTTAGAGGGGAGCCTGAAACAGGTATGGGCAGCTTTGCCATCTGCAACCTGCTTTTTGTCATTAATTAACAGGCAAATGTAATTAAAGTGGGCTGGAAGTCAGCCTGTTGCTATAGGACACGAAAGAATAAAAGCTCACACTGCTGTTCTCAAGGTGAAGAAAAAGGGAAGTTTATTTTCTGACTCCAACATTTATAGTTTTCCAAAAGTGACAGTGGATTGGAGGGTGACAGTGCCACCTCTCCAATGACACTGGACAGACTAACAGTCTATCAACTTTTTCTTCCTCTATAAAAGCATGCAAAACAATGAGTTATTTACAGAAACTGTGTAAAAAAGTTTGTTACAAGAATGTCAACATCAGAAAGCTTAGAAAATCTTAAAAAGCCAAAGTGACATCAGCCGTGTGGTGTGAGTGATGGTTGGAAATTAGGGGTGTGTTCATTTCCTTGTGTTGTGCTTTTGGATGTGGTGGGGACTTGGATAAACTGAGGTGATTGCACATGGCAGAAATAAGTTACTGAGATGGAATTTGTTCAGCTTTCTCATCTTGTGAGCTGAAAGAGAAAGGGAGGTGCAGGTGTCCCTGCTAAAGAGGGTGGAAAGGCTGGAAGAATTCAGGATGGGGGGACTGAGGAGGAGCTCAGCTTCTGTGCAAAGATTTGGGAGGGAAAAGAGGACAGGGTGGTCTGGATTGCCAGGGTGGGAATGAGAAGGAGAGGATTGGAATTCTAATTATATCCAAGAAGCAGAAAATCATCTGGGAGGAGCAGAGCAGGACGCAAGGAGTGCAGTGGATGTGGGAAGGGATCCTGATAGAAGAATTTAGGGAAAACCCCACAAAACCAATGGAGCCAATGGACCTCCAGGATGACTGACACTGCCAGATCCCACAGTGCTGGATCAAGACTTCTTTCCAGCTTGGGAGAGTTACCTGGGGGTTATCTGAGATTTGGTTTTCAATGAATTCCATCTGGTTCTAAGAGCAGAAGGTGAAGATGCAAAGTGGGGATGCAGATCAAGGGTGGCTGAAAGTGATGCAGGAAAGAAAGGCTTTGGTCCAAGCCAGGCTTTTGTGTGTGTGCTAGGAAGGTGAGTGAGCTAAGGGGACCAGTTACCTCCCAAGGTGACACCTCCCAGTGCCCAGGCTTTGTCCTGTTGTGTTCCTGTCCCCTTACCAGGACTCACCTTTCTCCTGATCCCTCTGGGAGCTGGCCTGGCTGTGTCACTCCTGCTTGGATGCCTGAGTGAGGCTCTGGTACAAGAATCCAAAGTGTCCTGGTGGCTTTGCCTTGATTTGACGGACTTGTTTCTACAGGGATTTGTTCCCTCATCCAGGTTATCATGTCTTTTCCCTCAGCCTCAGGAGCTGTTTTGGCTTCTCTGAGGAGATGGAGACAATCATTGAGGTGGAAAAGGCCTCTGAGATCAAGTCCAGCTATTAACCCAGCAATGCATTTTCATCACAAACCATGTCCCCAAGTGCCACATCCACAAGGCTCCTAAAGCACTGCGGGGACAGAGAAGGGAGCAGAGAAATGCCAGGCTTTGTACATCTTCCTGCCCAAATGCCCTTAAATCCTACTTCTGCCTTCCTTAATCACCTTTAAAGTTAATTTCTGAGTGACTTTGCTGTTGCTGCAGGGTGTGTCTGAGGAGAGGTTCCAGCAGCAGGAGGAGAAGCTGCAGCAGCTGCGCCAGGACCTGCGGCGGGTGCAGAACCTGTGCAGCTCTGCTGAGAGGGAGCTCAGGTATGAGAGGGAGAAGAATGCTGACCTCCAGAGGCAGAATCTGCTGCTCCAGCAGGAATGCACCAAGGTAGGGACACAGCCAGGCTCCCCTGAGTGCCTCAGCTCCATGGGAATGATGGCCATGAGGGTTGGAGCCCATTCTCCCCAGGCTGGGAGAGCTGGGGGTGCTCACCTGGAGAAGAGAAGCTCCAGAAAATTCTCAAAGCCCCTTTCAGAGCCTAAAAGGGCCCCAGGAGAGCTGGAGAGGGGCTGGGGACAAGGGATGGAGGGACAGGACAAGGGGAAATGGCTTCCCACTGCCAGAGGGCAGTGTTACACAGGCTACTGGGAGGAAATCCCTCCCTGGCAGGTTGGTGAGGCCCTGGCACAGGGTGCACAGAGACATTTCTGTGGCTGCCTCATCCTCAGAAATGTTCCTGGCCAGGCTGGATGGGGCTTGGAGCACTGTGGGATCGTGGAAGGTGTCGCTGCTCATGATGGGGGGTTGGAACTGTCTCCAAAGTTCTGCTGTCTCTAAAGCCTTTTGCAACTTTGCCAAAACCCTCTAATTTTATAGATTCCCACAGGAACCAGGTGATCCTTAACAGCCTCTCCCACCAAAAGTGCTCTGAGATTCTGTGACAAATTTCTCTGCATCCAAATAAAACATGCTTTACTTCCTCTGTGATTCCTCTTTCTGGAATCCTGTTCCCCTTCCCTAGCCAAGCCATTCCAGCTGATTTATGCTGAAGTATAAATCTGATTTCTTCTCTGGGATCTCAGGTCAAAGCTGAGCTGAAGCAGGCCCGGGCCAAACTCTCAGAGACCACAGAAACATGTTCCTCCCTCTCAGCACAGTGGGACAGGAGCCAGCAGAAGGTCAAGGAGCTGGAACTGGAGCTCTCCAAGTGCTCCCAGGCTGATAAGCTCAGGAGCAGCCTCCAGGAGAGGCTGGCCCAGGAGAAATCCAGAGCAGGAGAGGCACAAAAGAAGGTGAGTGTGAGTTTGACAGTTCTGTGCAGCTCTAGTGCAGAAAGCAAGCAGGTTTGCTTCCCCAAATTCCTTTTTGTGATCCATCAGCTTAATGTTGTAGGAAAAAAAGCCTGTAATGAGTGGGAGCATAATCAAGGCAATAGAAGCCATGTCTAATAACCCAGTATCTCTGAAATACTGATACTGGGGCTGGCAGGCACAGGAAACATTAATCTTGTTCTTGCTGAGATAATTTCCTACTGTTTACTGGCTGGAAATTCCAAACCTAGTGTTTTCCATGGCAATGATTCTGCCATGCTCCTGCAGAAATCATTGGATTCTCTTTTGGTGTGAGCAGGATCAGATTGGGTTGGAAAAAGATTGTTAGGAATTCATGACATAGTGTTTGGTCCAAAATCAGGTAGCCAGTGCAAAGCTTTTGCTTTTAATGGACTTGGAATCAAAACAAGGAAATCTTTCCTTCCCATGCCTCAGCCACTGGGGGATTTGATTCAGACATTGGGCTGTTCATTCAGAAAGTTTAATTTATGTCCATTTTAATCCAAGGTCTCCAAACTGCAGCAGAAGCTGAAGGATTCCCAGCACCAGCTGCTGCTGGCAGAGGCTCGTGCTTCTGACAAGAAGCTTCTGGAGGAGGAGCTGAAGGAAGCTCGGGAGAATGAAGCTCGAGTGCAGCAGGAACTTCACGAGGAGCAGCTGAAAAGGTCTCTGTGCTGTGCAGGGGCTGTGCCAGCCCTCCAGCAGCTCCTGTCTGCCCTGGGAGGGTTCAGGGAGACCCAAACCACTGCTTTGACCTCCTGTCTTCCCTTTGGACCTGCCTGATCCCTGGAGTTCTCCAGGGATTCCCCCTTCCTGAGGTTTAAAAGAATTTTGGATGCTTCAACTGCCTTGGAAAGGTCATGGCCTCTCCTGTCAGTGCAGTGATGCCAGCAGCCCCCTTCCCTGTGCAGCTGGGAATGATCCCAGTGTATCACCCCCCTTTCTGTGTCACTGACACAGCTGGGATGTGCTCATTCCTTTGTCCCCTCAATGCCAGCAGGGGCAAGAGGAGTAAGGGGTGCAGAAGGCACATCCCCCTTGTCTTGGTTTGGAAAGCCAGGTGTCTGCTAAGGAAGGCAGGAGCCTCCCCTGAAATGGAGAAAATGAACCCCCCGCCCCTGAATTG